CAAACTCAATAAGATTTTAATTGGATTCCAAACATATCAGCTTTTTGAGAAACGAAATCTGGAAAAAAAGTTTATTTAAATCATAGATACCAAATGTGGTTTCATTTCTTTCAAATCAAACATCTGTATATATATCCATCTCTCATAAAATATATATATATATATATATATATATATATATATATATATATATATATATATATATATATATATATCATCAAATTTAATTTGAATTTTAGGAAAAAAAATAATAATAATAATAATAAAGAACGAAAAAAGATTTGGAGAAATGTTATAATGCAAGAACTATATAAAAAATTGCATGTGCAAGATGTAGTTCCTATGAGGCCCATGTTAGTGTAGGGTTGTTTCATCGGATAGGGTAGGTTAGATAGAGGGTGGTTTTTTATGTGTCAAGTTGACATTTCGACCAATTATCGGGAGTTATATGCTACATCAAATTATATATTTTTTCGAAAATGAAATTTGTTAACTGTAGATGAAATTAAATAACTATCCACTAAACACATATATACATGAGTGTATACTGTTCGTGTGATTATGTGCAGATGAGTATGGCAGTTAACAAATATCCAGAGTAAATAACCCGATGTAGCATATAATTTTCCAACAACTTGTACTATTTGAAAAAGTAGCAAGTTAATTCAATGGTCCACTGATAGAACTTGTCTTTGATGCAAATGAGAGAAAGTGACTAAAATAGCAATAGCCTTTCTAAACATTAGCACAAGGCTACATGGTCACACCACGGTTCCATAATTATCGATGTTTTGGACGATTTTCGAGGCTCGTATCAATTTCATTTTCGAGAAATAATTTCAAAATGGAAGTAATACTTTTCTATATTTTGATGTGGAAAAAAATCATGTAGCAGGTAAATTATGTTGCCGTTATGAAACCGATGTAAGTTTGTTTAGTTGAAACAACTTTTGTTGTAATAGTGAAATCATATTTGAAAGAGAGATAAACTTTGGAATTGTTTCTGAGAAATATTTGAAAACCATCGCAACCATTGATTCATTTTGGGGAAATTGTTAGATGAAAAGGAAGTTAGCATTTAATAAATACATTTGTATATAACCTTCATAAAAAAATTGGTACATAGCTTCTACTATTATAATTGGTACATTTAATAAACTCCGCCACCATATTTCCCCAATTTGTAACATAATTTGAATTTAAACAAAAAAATAAAGTAATTTGATGATGAATAATTTTATTTATGTAATTTGAAGCTTAGAAACAGGTTGGAGGGTCGAGAAACTAATTTTTTTTAATTTATTTGACATTTTACACCCTGAAAAAAAAAACCCCTATAAAGATGAAATTACTCTCATGAACTTAAAAAAAAAAGAAAAATTAATTCGAGGTGGACTGTGAATTTAATGATTTACGTACTTCGAAATACTATTATTTTATATTATTTTCAGGGTGCAAATTTAAATCGTCAAACTGCTACATTTGAAGGGTGCACAGTGGAATTTAAGCCTTTAAATCTCAAAGTATTTTATTATAGACTTTCTACTTGCTAACAACACTAGCAAAGAAAATGAAATTAAACTCGCATGTTTCCCTTAAACTTTCTTATATCCAATTACAAATTAAATCTAACAAAGATGAACTTTCGAAATAATCATATATACATACTAAAATTCACGAGTTACAGAAATTAAAAAAGAAAAGAAAAGAAAAAAAAAAAAAGAAACGTACATCATAAAAAGCAATTGAATTAATATTACCACATGATAACCAAAAGAATTGAGCTGTTGTTCTTAACACAAGTTTGCTGCATTATCGAACTTTCGACTCGAATCCGTTATTGAGTTCGATCAATCCATTATTCTTCCGTAAGCATCCCCCAAAAAGTACCTGAAGCAGCTATCATTCAATCCATTATTATTATTATTATTATTACCATTAATATTATGATTATTATTATTAGGAGACGAATTTCCATGATCATATAACCGAATCGTATGATCGACATTCCCTTGTTCACAGCTGTCATCGCCGTAAACTCCTCCTCCTCCTCCTCGATTCGAAACGGACTCGTTAGTATTATAATACGTACCGGAGCTTTTCGAGTTCTCCTTCCTTTTCTTGTTGCACTTGATCGCGCAATCATTACTATTAGCGACGACGCTATCCCACTTGTCTTTGCACATCATCGGACTTCTGTCGTACCCTAGACAAGCCATTTTCGTCGCTATCTCGTCCCACAGTACAACCTCTTCGGACAATCTCGCCCCTCTAATCTGCTCGAACTTCACTTCCATCGATCTCCGTATCTCGACCAATCTCCCCATCTCACCCTCCGGCCATATCTCACCGTCGTTGTTGTTAATAATCCTCTCCTCCGGCGAAGCTCTTCCGGTGAGCTTCGAGAGCGCTTCCATTAGGGCCGCGTCACGGGCCTCGATCCAAGCCCGTTCGCCGGCCCAGAATTTTCTCTCTCTATCAATTCTCTCGGCGTCCATCTTCCTCCACTCCTCCTCCCTCGAAATCCTCTCTCGCTCCTTGTGCTCGATCGCTCTCATCATTTTTTCCATCCACGCTTCTTGTTTGTCCATTAGTTTCTTCATCTGCACATCGATGAAATCTCGTATCTTCAATTTCCAATTATTACCACCACCGCCATCGCCGCCGCCCGTTTTGCCGTCGCCGCTCGACGAGCTGGTTTCGGCGTCGGAGTAATTCGAGAGGCTAAGGCTTGTGTCCGACTGTTTATTATTATTATTGGGGTACTGAAATAGTGGTGGTTCTAATTGTGTGGTGGTGGTGGTGGGAAAACTGTAGGGAAGAGTAGTGGTGGTTAAGTGATGGGGTGGATGATCGGAGAGAACTGTATTGTTGGAACCGTAGAGAGCTTCAAGCTGTCTGAAGAATCTGTAGTGTTTGCCATCTTGCCTGCCAGCTTTGCCTTCTTTGGTTTTCTTGTAATATTTGTACAGGTTTTCAAACTTCTCCCTGCATTTCTTGCCGCTCCTTTGGTACCCGTGTTCCTCACACATTATCCTGATTAAATTTATTATTATTATTTTCAAGAAAATATTAATAAAATGGAGAACCCTAGTTTGGTGTGTAACCAAAAAAGAAAAAAAAAATAATCTTGATATTTGATAGTGATATTTGCTAAGGAAGGACAAACACATGTGTTCAGTTTGATTCATAAGTGTTGACAAAACCCAATTTTAGGATTTTCATATCACTGTTTCAAAACTTTGTCTGTAATGGAATTGCCACTGTTACTACGTATTGCCCCAAAATTAAATTAAAAATAAATAAATAAATAAATTGTTTTATCTTCTTCATCGTCTTGTGTTTAATTAATTAGAAAAATTAATTAATTAATTTGAGAGGATGATTATAAATTATAATAATTAATCGCGGCCCTTGAATTTTCGGTGCTGTTCTTGAGAATTGGAAAAATTAGGGTTTTAACTAAGAACACACACAAATTGGGGTGTGTGTGTGTGAATATATAGTGAATTATATATATTAATTACCTAGAGACTTCATCCCATAAAGGGCCCTTCTGGTTGGCTTCCTTGAACTTGGGGTCGAGCCTTGATCTGATTTCAAGAAGTGTGAGCGTCTCCTGCCTCGGCCATCTCCCGGCGCCGCCGTCTCCGCCGCCGTTGTTGTTCAGGCCGCTCTCGAAGCCGGTGCTGAAACAGCCACCGGCGGCGCTGCTCGATCCGGCGGCTGCGGTGGTTGCGCTGGTGGTGGAAATGGAATCGGAGCGAAACATGAGCATGTCGTACGGGTTGGCGCCGGAGCTCAGACCGCGGTGGCTGGACAGCAAGTCCGGCGGCGGCTGAGCGATGGGCGGAAATAAAGGCCTGCTGCTTATGAACTGCCTCAGATCGTCCATCCCGTATTGATCCTCCATTTCTTCTTCTTTTTTGCAATTCACAGCAGCCACTCGAATTCAGTAAGACTGAAGATACAATAATATATATGTATCTAGAGAGAGAAAGAGGAGAGAGAGAGAGAGAGAGAGAGAGATTGAGGGGACAGTGGTGAAAGGAGCGGCAGACCCGGATCGTGTTCTGAAAGAAAAGAAAAAAAGGGTTGTGAATTCATGTAGAGGACAATGGACCCATTTCTGTGCTGTGCTCGATATATATCAACTACTCTCTCTCTCTCTCTTCTCTCTCTCTCTCTTTCTCTCTCTATATATCTCTCTCCATGTATGTATCATGTATGTACGTATGTATGTATCTCTATTGTGTGTGTGTGTGTCTATCTATATTCTGTAGGGTTTGGATTCGTACGCAAATGAATAAATAAGTTTAATTGTTTAATTTGATATATAATTATATATATAATGTACATACATACAAGTATGTGGGGGCGAATAAAGAGTAGACAAATGTCCAAAGTTAACAAGGTTAAAAAAATTTGTGCACATGACTTCTTCTTATAATTTGCACCTTCTACAGTGATTCTGATTCTCCCATTTTTTATTTTACTCTCTCTTCAACAGTACTAAAAAAAAACAAAATCAAAAAATATTAGGGTATATTTATTTAATTACGACCAGAGTCCTGAGTTAAGGTCAAATTACGAAAAAAACTCATTTTGTTTGGGTAATTAATTACAACCGCCCCCTCAACTATCTTCTTACATGTTCATTAATCTTATGATACCAAATTTAATATTATCTGGTTTGTACTCGTCAAATGTTCTCTAGTTTGTACTCGTAATATATTCAAAATTGCAGTTTCTAATGCAACACAATCTAATATTTACAGGCATTAATTTACCCAAAGTATTAATACTAGTATGTGCTCAAAACTCACAAAACCTTCCTCTCTCTCTCTCTCACAGAGAGAGAGAGAGAAAGAGAGAGAGAGAGAGAGAGAGAGAGAGAGAGAGAGAGACGTGCAAAGGTTGTAAGCAACAAGAAGGATTGATCTGCGGAATGTAAGAAATGTGAAATAAATAAACGTTGAAGTGTGTGTTTATTGTGATGTCTCTTCCTAAATAGACTGAACTTAGATCTGTCTGTAAAATTGATTATTATTATTATTATTAATATCTGAGAAGTTAATTAGTACACGCATACATATTTATTGACATCAGATCACTCAACCAAATTAAAGAACGATGTTTTGTTTCCTGCATTAATTTAATTTAATTTAATTAATTATCCTTATTTCATTTACGTGTGTAAAAAGAGACTGTTCGCTAGCTGTGTGGCTAGCAGCTGATCTCTCACTGCTTTAATTTAATTAATTTGCTTACTACTTTATTCAATTTAATATCCCTTCTTATTCCTTTTGTTCCTACCGATAAGCTAATTAACAGTGATAATACTATTCCATTTTCTTTTCTTTTTTTTTGGGTAATTTCTTTTATTATTTTATTTTTTTAATTCCAAGTTTATAATTATTAGGTTCCAATCTCTCAAAACAAAAGACGATTTCCAATCGGGGCTCGAGGGTAGGAGGAATAAGCTCAAAAACCACTTCCCTTTTTTTCATCCATTATTTATGTATTTGTTGTCTTTTTTAGTACAAGAGGCTACACTTCAGACAAAGATTGTATCTAACTTCTTCAAATGTAAACTTGACCAAATTAGTTTTTTTTTTTTTTTTTTTTTTAAGGAGGATAGTTACTAATTTGTCTTCACGAAAAAACAAACAAGCATCACTTTATTTTTCAAATTAACGTTCGACTGTACATTTTTCCAATGCATTATATTTAGACATGATTTGACCGCTACAATGTATTACGTCTTATCTCATATTTATGAAAAACAAATATTACTTTCATTCTTAAAGTATTAGAGTATATTATATTATTAGATATTATAGGATATAATTAGGATTCTATTATGATTCGGTTACCTAGATTAGTTATGATTTAATTACCTAGTCAAACTCTATTACCTTGTATTATTTCTCTATATATATTTCATGTAAATCAACCCATAACATAATGGGGGTTTCTATTACGTATTATTATTTCTCTTCTTTTCTTCTCCAATTCTATTCTTACTATATAAAGTATTCCCTCAAAACATATTTTCCTATAATAAAATGAAAATAAATCACATAATGAATGGATTTGGATTATAGTTCTACTTTTAGATTTTCCACTATTTGTGTAAAAATATTAAAAAAAGATGGATGGCGGGGTTTTGATTAGTCAAAGAGATTAGTGACAGTAATTTTAGTCTTAAAGTTAACAGCATTTCTCATGTTCCAAAGTACTATAAAAGGGATTCCTATAAATCTATGCATTATCCTCAAGAATAGTCTAATAGTTTCTACACATCTAATAACCAAGTATTATCACAGCTTGGAGATGCTTTATCCTCCATATATAACCTTAGAAAATAATGAGAAGATCAATCGCCTTCATTATTTATTTATTTAAGCGTAAATTACAACCATAAGAAAAATTACGAAAACACTCCTCTTATTTGGATAATTACATTTATCCATTAACTATCAATCTTCTTACACCTGCACCTTTATGATGTCAAATTCAACATAATCATCTAGATTCCGTGAAATGTGCTCGAGTTTTTGTGTGAAAATACAGTTTCAAATGCATGAAACACATCTTATGATCACCTTGCTTCAAAATGTGGAGCTCGAATGGGATAAAACGGGTACAAAAGTGATATCATTCTATATAATCAAGAAGATTCCACTATATTTGAAACCGCAATGGTGGACGTGTAAGAAAATTTATAGTTGAGGGGTTGTTGTAATTACCCAAACAAGATGGGTTTTCGTAATTTTATTATACCTCAGGGGTGATTGTAATCTACCCTTTATTTAATCAGATAAAGTTCAAATATCTTTATTAGGGCTGAACATGGGTTGGTTTTCTCGGCGATCCACTTTCGACTCACTTTTTTTGGCCGATACCGATAGTTAACTTTAAAGGGAGTGGGTGTCTTTTACACTAAAATTGTGATGGTTTAGCCAACCAAGAAATTCGATAGGCCTGGACTCCAAATGGGGTGGAGTCGTATAGCTGTAAATCGGACTGAAGAGACCTGCAAAAAGGGAGTGCCAGAGGGTGGTTTCCCGACGTTAGCATTCTGACGATCGTTCGAAAAGTCAACAATGCAGAGAGAGAGAGAGAGAGAATACATGGAGAAAAGTGTTTAGGCTTACAAAAATACGTGTGTGTGTGTAAAATAATTAATAGTGTAAGATCCATTGCCTTCATTATATCTGCATTGAGCTCAAGTTCATGGGTATGGGCATCGAGCGCATATCAAACAGTATTAACAGTAAGAGTTGTAATTTTTAATTTATTATCAATTAAAAGATGCTTAATACGTTAATGTGAATCTTTTTGTTTATATTTAATCTTCTTTTAATTGTTTATTTTATTTTTATTTTTGTTGGGATCCATTTTTATGTATTTAGGATAAAAAATAATTTGTCCATAAAGGACTTGAGTGTGATTGTCAATATAGTTAGAATATTTATATCAGATGATATGTATCATATTTTTCATGTTATATATTTTTTTATCCACTATTTTATTTTATTCGGTACTATGTAGTCTATGTTATTAAATTATTTTAGTAAATAATTTTATTTAAATATTTTTGGGTAAATTCCACTTTCCCTCTTTGTACTTTAGTTCGATATCACTTTACCCTCTTTTACTCTTATTTGCATCGGTTTGCCGCCTTGTACTTGAAAAATTGTCCCAATGTGACCCTCGCCGTTAGTTTTCAGACTTTTGACCTTAACACCGTTTGATTTAAGTCTGAAAATTACAAAAAAACCACCCCTCCCAGTTTAAATAATTATTACAAAAAAAAAAAAAAAAAAAAAATTGGCTGGTGTCGTGGACTGTGTTTTCTCGTTGTCTTGAGTTTTTTATTATTTTTTTTTGTTTTTTTCAATTTTTTTTAATAATTATTTAATCTGGGAAGGGTAGTTTTGTTTTATAATTTTCAAACTTAGATCACACAGTGGTAAGGTCAATTATTTGAAAACTAACGGCGAATGCCACATTGAGACAATTTTTCAAGTACAATACGGCAAATCGATGCAATTGACGGTAAAAAAAAGTAAAGTAATATTGAGTGAAAGTACAAGGAAAAAAATGAAATTTACCCAATATTTTTTAAAAATTATTCCCATGCATTGCAAGAACGAGGTTATTACTTATTAGTTGTATCTAAAGAAAAGAAATAAAAATATTGTTCTGAACGAATTATTGGTTGGTTGGCATCATTGGAAAAGTTGACAAATCCTAGAAAAGAATTCCTTTCTTGATACCAATATAACTTTAATTTTTTCGGTTGGTAAGCTTTTGGGCTTCCATTACCATTTTATTCTGGATAAAAATGTTTTGGAAGAAGAATTTGAAAATAAAATAAAGTTTTTTTGTGTTTTGAGAAGAGACAATTTGTACTGTAGCAAGTCAAATCATGTCTAAAAAGTATTGGAAAATGTATTTTGGAAGAAGAATTTGAAGGATAAAATGATTTTAGTTTGTAATTTAGTGAAGACAATTTTCACTGTAGCAGTCAAATCATGTCTGTTGGAGAGAGAAAAAATTGAATTCTTTTTAGGAAAAGTTTTTGAAAATATTTCGGAAAGATAATTTTATTTTGGGGAAATAATGAAAAGAATTTGAGAAAGCTTACCAAACATAGCCAATACCTTTTGGAAAAAGAAATTAGTAAATAAATATATTATTTTTTTGAATTAATAAATAAATATTGGGGCCACAACTTTTCACTTGGCCGGACCTCATTTGCCGACATTCAGGTTTTCATTAACTGAAAATAATAACAAACTGATGGATTATTTTTATTTTAATGTTTTGATTTAATACGATCTAATGTTTTGTTTTACGTACGTTCAGTATCAATTAAAAAAAATATATATATGAAACCCAGTTAAAATTATATCTTGAAGCTCGATTTTTTTTTTAAACATCAAAATAAGTATCAATATATATCAGAGTAATTTCTTAAATTACTAATTTTCTTATTATGAGACGACAAAATATTTATATATATTTATATCCTCTTCGTCACTCAAAATATTTTGAAAATCATCCGGATTATATTACGGAAAATCATATTCCCATATCGGGTTTGAGTAGTATATACATGGCGGATCAGACCATTTGTAAGGGAGGGCGTATT